GGGGGGGGGGGGGGGGCCATGAGTGGGAAGGGAAAAAGGCAGCACGGAGAGCGAGTCAAGGGGACAAAAGATGACTGCGCACCAGTCCAGGTCGTTGTAGGGCTCCGGATCAGCATCAGCCACCATGTCCAGCAGGTAGCTGCCAGATTGAAGTGTATGTGTATGTGTATGTGTGTGAGAGTGTGAGCGAGAGAGAGAGAGAGAGAGAGTGAGTGAGGGGATGGGGCGAGGGCAGCTGCGCACCGGTTTTGCAACTTGGCCCTGGCAATGATGGCAGTACGTTCGGCGAGGGTGGCCTTGAGGCGTTTTTGTTTCTGCGTGATCGCGATCGGAGAGCAGGAGGAGCGCGAGGCGCGCAAGGGGAAAGGGGTGGATAAGTGTCAAGCACGCCAGGGGAGATGCGGGACTCATCGGGGGGGGGGGGGGGGGGGTCCCGAGGGGGCAGAGGGCAGAGGGCAGAGGGCAGGCGGCAAGTCACGCACGCGCAGGAGCGCTCCCAGGCGGGCTTCCATCAGCTCCGGCGAGGACTCCACCAGCTCGGCAAGCTTGGCGCAGGAGGACAAATCCCGACCGGCCCGGCGCTCGGCCAAGGCAGCCGGCGTCGGGTCCAGCAGGGAGCCCGGCTCGAAGGGGGTATACCCGTTGAGGGCGGGCGCAGGCGCCGAGGCGGCCGGGGGCCGGTGATCGGCCAACGGAATGAACGGGGCCAGGGGGGTGTCACCGGCGCTGGAGGGCAGGACCGTGGCTGGAGGAGACAAAACCTTGTCATAGGCAAAGGCCGAAGTGGCCGCCGCACAAGCCCGATGGATGAGCTTCTCCCGGGCGGAGCCACGTCCGACCGGGCGTTTGGCCGGCGGGCGCAGCTTCTTGCCGGCGGAGCTCGCCGGTGCTGGGCGGCTTTCAAGCTTCTTCATGGCCAGGAGTGATGGATCCTCGGGAGGAGGAGGAGGAGGAAGGGAGAAAAGCAGGGAGAAGAGGGAGATGGGAGGGGCAGATGCCGAGGGGATGCGAAGAGGAAGCGAGAGGAAGAGGGAGAGAGAGGCGATGGGACGGGGGGGTAAGGAAAGTCCCGATCGATCCTCCGAAGTCCGATAGAGGAGGGCAGACGCGATAAAGGGGGCCGGGCACGGGGAAAAGTGAGGACAGGAGGGGGGGGGGCGGGGAAGAGAGAGAGAGAGAGAGAGAGAGAGAGAGAGAGGGGCAGGGTAGTGGGGAAATGAGTTTGCAAGTTGAAGGGTGGGATCCCTTCGACTGTCCTTTGTGGGATCAAATGAGGCCGGCGGGCGCGGGGGCAGGCAGGCCAGGACGTGGGCGAACGAGCACCAAGCACCGGGGAGGGACAGGGCTGGCCATGCCCCAGCCAAGGGGGGGAGGACCCGTGTGTCGATGGAGCCGCAGAAGCGCGCAACTGCACGGGCGTGCCAAGTGGAGCAACATATGCACGCTGGGCCCCCCCTGCCCCCCCGCTGCTCCCCGTCCCAGTACAGCGCACGGGAGGGAAATGTCGCCGCGGGGGACGAGCAACGAGCGCCTGCGCGGGCAGGCTGACCTGCCGTGCATGTTCCCTTCTTGCCTGGGACGATGGGGGGGGGGGGGCCGCCCCGGGGCCGGGGCTGTGGAAGGCGCATCGGAGATTTGCCCGTGACCTGGCGAATCCCAGAAGTGAGGAGGGGAGAGGAGGCACGCGCCCGGGCGAAGTGCAGAAGGCCGGCCCGCACGCCGCATCCTGAGCAGGTGTAACTAACCACCGGCCGTCTGGCGCGTTAGCCCGGGGCCCAGGGTCCCCCCCGCCCGGTCCCTCCCTTCAGCCGGTCCAGCGTTCGGGCCCGCGCGCGCGCGCGGGCACTCCCCCCCCCCCCTCACCCGGCTGGCACACCGGGATTCCCGGTTTCCCGCCGTTGTGGCGAGGGGGCCGCCGCGCGCACGCGCGCGCGTCGACACTGCTCGTGGTGTCGGGGAGATACGTGCGGACGGCAGCGAGTTTGGGAAACCCGGCGGTCGGCCTGGGGTGGAGCCCCGCGCCTCCCGCGGTCCTTTCATCCCCCTGCAGCTCGTCGGGCATCGCTTTTTCGTCGGATGAGTTGGCACTTGGTCGGGGATCTACCCCACGGCCACCGCGTACAGACGCATCTCCGTGGCGTGCCCGGCCGGGGGGGGGGAGGGGAGGGGCGGCCAGAGGATGGGATGGGGGGAGGGGGGGGGGGGGCTGGTGCGGACTGCCGCCGGGCGACGCCGCCTGAAAAGCGGTTCCTGCACCCATCGGGATCCCCCGGGAGGGGGATGTCCCAAGGCAGTGCCCCCCTCCCCGATTGTTCCGCACCTCCCTCCTCCCCCCCCCCTCCCCCCTCCCCCTTCGCCTGGGGTCCTGCTACTCACCTCCCTCTCCCTCCCTCCCTCCCGCGCTATCTTCCCTGCTGCCCATGAGCTCGGCCGGCACGATCGCGCCCGGCATCGGCGCCTCGGCTCGGGTGCCGCTGCTGGGCCTCTTTCTGCTGGCGTTGCTGCTGATCCTGGCGCCTGGCCACGGGCAGCCGACCGACTCGCCAACCGATGGCGTCAATGCTCTGTTGGCCGGAGCGACAGCCCACGAGCTGACGGGTGATCGTCAGCGGCCGCCGCTGGTGTCCGGGCCCCACCTGGACCGCGGTGTGGTTGTGTATGATGACTGGGCGGATGCCCAGGCGGCTGGCGCCTCTACGGCCGCCCCCTCACAGGTCACCACCTCCGTGCGTTTCCCGCCAAGCCGGCTCCCCGCCCCTACTCGTCAGCCAGCTGACCGACCCATGTACATGTATGTTCGCATGCGGCCGACAGTATCGCCTGCGTCTCTTCTGCCCGAGTACCCCGGTGTATTTGTTGTCCATCATGCACCGCGGACACCCGAATGATGAGGGGTCACGGGAAATCGCCTTTGTCATTACGTATGTCTCTGCTCGTGCCGTACCCCTGCTTCTTTTTTATCTGCCGCCTCCCCCCCCCCCCGGCCTCCTGCTGACCCGACCTCGCAGGGGCTTCCGCACACCGAGCATTGCGGTCCTCTCCTCCTACAATGTGGTGTACGGCCCGGACGATGGGACTGCCCAGCCGGCCATCTGGTTGGAAATGGACTGCAGCTTGCTGTCCAACCAGCACCCCCGGTCGGCCATTGTCCATGGGGCCGAGTTTTTCGGCTTCTCCTACGTGGTCGAGGCGCTGATCGAATATGGCGTCACCGCCAAGCACTTCCCGCTGTACGACCCATCGGCCGGCCCTCTCCCTGCCTTTGTCTCCACCCTCCCCCCCCCGCCCGCCTCTCCCTCTCTCCTCTCTCCCCCTCCCCCCCCCCCCCCCCTCCCCCCCCCCCCCCCCCCCCCCCCCCCGAATGGCGCTGCCCCCTCTGACCCCGGCCCTTCTGCAGCATCGAACAGAACCATGTTCGCTTCGACGAAATCTACCAACCCGGCATCTCGCCGATCTACAACTTCTACAATCTGTCCTCATTTTCCTGGGAGCTGTCCTATAACCAGACGATCAAGCAGCCACCCGGGGCCCATCCCAGCACCGGGGGCTTCTGGTCAGACCGCGGGGTGGATGTGGACACCCTCGGGTCCCTGCCGGCCGATCCGCCCACCCCGCCGCGCAAGATCCTCAACATCAGCATCACCAATGCATCCATCGGGGCTCAGCTGGTGATCATTTGCGATCCGACCGAGGACCACCTGCATGACAGCCTGCACTTGCAAGCCGGCACACCGATCATCAATCTGCGCGTGACCAAGCCTCCCTTTGGCCAGGAGCCCATGGAGCCCCATCCGACCATCGCCCCTCCGGGGTCCTCCAGCATGTCCGGCTCGGGGGATCCCCCGGGCTCCTCTGGCTCGTCGGGTCCCTCCAGCATGTCCGGCCCCTCGGGCCCTTCCGATCCCCCGGGGCCATCGGGCTCTGCTGGCTCGTCTGGCCCTTCCAGCTCGGCTGCTTCCGCTGGCGGGCCATCCAGCTCCCTGGGCGGCTCCTCGGCTGCCGGTCTTGCGGCCCGATCGATGGAGCCCACGCATCACAATACCTCGCATATGCGCTTTGTCGCGGCGCGGCTGGCCATCTCCAGTGGCGTGGGCTATGCCTGTCCGGATCCTTCCCTGACCACGGCCCCGGATGACACCCGGAACCCCGGCGTCTACACCAGCACCCTGACCAGTGTCCGGCTGCTGGAGGGGGGCGGGGGGAATTCCACGCTCGCCGGGCCTGCCATGGTGGCTGATCCCGAGTCGGAGCCCGTGTGCCAGGAGAAGTCCGGCCGTGCGCACCTTATCTGGCCGAATTTGGCCAATGTTGACGGCGGCCCGGCATATGTGCTCATGGACTATGTGGCCACGGCCGGCGAGCGCGGCAAGATCACCTACCAGGAGGCGGAGTTTTCCTCGATGAAAATCATCAATGGCCCCTTCATGATTGGCTGCATCAAGCGCCTGCATGTGTCCTTCGAAATTCCCCCCAATGAGCTGGTTTCCTGGACCAAGATCCTGGCGGCCACGCCGCCCTGCACGGCTGACCCCACCCCTCGGGACCCGCCATCGTCGGTTCGGATAACCGCCTACACGGCCTGTGTTGTCGGGATTTCCGCCGTGGCCATGGGCATCCTGGCGCAGCTGGTGGTCGTCCTGCGCCAGAGCCGCACCAGCAAAAAGACCAATGCGAAGCTGGATGCCGCCCGCGCCGGTCGCCGGATGATCAACCAGCAGCAGACCAACACCCGGGCCAACCATCCTCATCTTCAGCACCAGCAGATGGCCGCTTCGGCTGCCTTCCCGCCGAAGATGGTGTCCAGTCACTTTGCCGCGGCCGCCTCCCTGGACCCCATGGCGCGCCTCATGCCCCAGCACCAGCCGGCCTCGCTGCAGGAGGCCCAGCCGGCCCAGGTGCCGGATCCGGCGACCGACCCCTTCCACCAGCAGTACCAGCAGTACCAGCAATACCAGCAGTACCAGCAGTACCAGCAGTATTTGCAATATCACCACCAGTACCAGCAGCAATTCTTCCAACAGCCGCAGGACGGCATCGGCCAGTATGCCGCCGATGAGCAGCCGCTGGAGGATGGCGACTTGCAGAGTGGTGCCACATCGCCCAACACCGAGCCATCTCCTCGGGGATGAGGCAAGGAGTGTCGTCCCCCCCTTCTCCGGATTGGTCCTCCTTCTTTTTTTTTTCGTCGATTCAAAAAGGGCCAAGACGGCAGCCGACAGGAGGATGTCCCGACGGCCCCTGTCAGTCAATACAAAGATTCGCTATTGCACTTTTTGGAGGGGTCTATTGAACCAGCAGAACAGGGAGAGGCTGTGAGGCATGTGAGGAGAGGCCACACCGTGGCGGCTGGTGGCGATGGAGGGGGAGGGTGACAACACGGTGACGAGGGCAGCGGCCAAACCAGGGGCGTGGCCAAGCACCGGGGCTTTTCCCCATCTCAGAGGACGCCCCAGAAGTCCTCGAAGGCACAGCAAATCTTCCCCAGGACCACCGAGGCCGACAGCTCATACTCACTGACCGAGACCATCTCATCGACATAGTCATCCTGGATGACGCCGTGCGCGAAACAGCCCACCACAAACACGAAGGGCTCCCCATCGGGCAGGGTCTTGACCCAGTCGTTGATCCGGACCACCTTCTCGGCGCGGTGATTCATGGCTGGACGCGGGGGGACGGGGACGAGGGGGGGGGGGGGGGCGATGTTAGAGGAGACTGGCCAGGGGGCATTACGGCGGG